TTGAACGGGCTTAATCCGTATAATGGTTATCAACTACTGGCATTGTGGGGTAAGATTTCTTTGACATAGAAGGATGTCCCTCGGAAGGTTTAGCTACGTCCTGTAAGAACTTGCTACAAGCGGGCAACTTACTACCTCTCTGTCTCCTCTTCTTATATAGTTGATGGACTTAGTTTATCATATAATATAAGAGACGGGTCGGTGAGCAAGTGAGCTGATCTCGCCTTTGTTGATCCGCTTGAAGAGAGTTATCACGACCCTGCTACATCGCGATCGTTTATTCCCAAGCGATAGAGAATACAAAGCACACAAGGCGCATGATGAACAAGAGTAGCTTCCCGTCCCTTACTCCATTTCTTGTCTTAAATCTAAAAAAGAGTGGGCTTCCTTCTTCTATGAGTCGAAGACAGCCTCGAAGCGCCAAACGAACTGACCCTACCCAAGCCTTTTCCAGGCAAGATCTCAGCCAAATGAGTGAATTGGTTAATATATATAAAAGGATTTTCCTTATTTGTAAATAAGTTTGAATGAGCTGAATTTATTTGAAAGACAAAAAAGTTGGATGTCCCTTTTTTAATATAGTGTTTTTGTCATGGGCCTATTTGGCATTACCCCTTGATAAATAAGCTACGTTCATACATGGATTTTTATTCAAGCAATGTAATCACGTGCAGGGGTAATAGAGCACATCCATGCATAAGAGCCTTCTAATTGGTTATTGAATTCCACATTGTTATAAAATAAATAATATTGTTTATTTTTCGCATATTACTAGGAATAGTTACAGATTTGGTCCCTATATTATACATCTTTTTCAATTTTGGCTTGATTTTTTTCTGGAACGAAATTGTTGCTCAAATAACCAGTTTTTTTAATTTTCATTTACTGTTTGAAATTGTTGTTAGTTCGGACAGAAAAGTCACGTGACAAACACACATCAACCCCCTTATTTTTACCTATATTTTTTTATTTAGCCCCAATATCAGCTTATTCATACAAATTCGTCCAAATAAAATTAAATTCAATAAATCTACTAAAAATGTGAAATGAAAAAAATATCATAGGAGGTTTTCTAGGAATTATTACATTATATTTAATACACAAATACTATTCATTTAATTATTTTAGTTTTTTAATCAAAAACACTATAATTAATTTGATTATGCCAAATTCTATTAAAGAGTTGTATTTCAATTTTATAAATATAATTTATTTCATTATTTTGTAATTATTAAAAATAAATCATATGTAAAAAATAATTGAACGTATATTATAATTTCAGAGATATTGTTTTTAGTCATTTATTCAAGAAATCCAATTTTGCCTAATCTTATAAATTTTATGGTATTTTTATTATTCATTGATAAAAATTTCATTGTATTTCAATTTTAATTTTTAAATGAAGAGGTATTTTTTATTCTTGTGGTTCCCAATTGGGACGAGCTCACGATTGGTGCTCTCCGATGGCGTCCATGGCGATTGGAGAGGGATTCGTCGTTGATGGTTCGGCGGTGGAGATGAAAATGGCAGACGGGGCGGGGCATTCAGAACAAATTTTTGGGGATTTGGTTTTTTTTTGACGTATTTGTAATAATAAAGTTAAATTAGGAGTAAATTAAAAATTGGACAATTTGCTATAGGTCCCTCTATATTATAATTTATGTGTGTAGATCCAAGTCAAAATTTCTATGTTTTTAATAAGGGGCATGTTAAATCCCACACTAAAATTTACTAAATCTCACACATAAATTAAAAAAAAAAAAAAAAAAAAAAAAAAAAAAAAAAAAATCTCTCTACTCAAATACTCTCTAAAATGATTTTTATCCAAGTCACACAAAATTCATTAATTTTTTACATGAATAATCATAAAAAATTATTTCCGTTTTTTTTTTATATTTATTCAATTTCATTAAGTATTTATAATTATTCAAATTCATCTCAATTCGAATATTTTCCTCAAATTCCAACTTTATTTTAGTTTGAACAATAAAAGATTTTTGTCAAATTCGAACTTGGAATGCTAGGGATGTTTTTAGTGTGTGATTTTGTGAAAAAATTAGGAAAAAGGAATAGGGGTGGGAAAGGAGAAGAGAAGTTTTGGAGAGAGAAATAATTTTAATTATGTGCATGATTTGGTAAAAAATAGTGTGGGATTTAGCATTTCATTTTTAATAAATTAATAATATTTATAGTGGCGAAAATACCCTTAATTAAAATCAAATCAAATCTCAAAAAATCTTTCTATCAAAACAAATTCCCAAAAATATTTCTTCCAAATATTAACTAAAAAATTAAATAAATCATAAAAAAATATACAATTTATTTTACAAACTCATACTCCAAAAACGCTCCGGGAACTTTGACTCTTCTCGCGACGCATATGACATTGTGCACTGCAAATAGCAAACTGAAAATTAGATTTTGTATTATTGAATTGCAAACAACAAAATACCTATGATTTCGTCAAATGCAAACAATAAACTGAAAAAAGAAATCCATAATGTGCATTACTAAATTGCAAACAAAAAATTACCTATGACTTCGACAAATGCAAACAACAAATTGAAGAAAAAAAATTCAGCAGAACTTGCATTATTGAATTGCAAGCAATAAATTACCTATGACTTCGCCAAATGCAAACTGCAAACTGAAAAAAAAAAATCATCATCATTAAAAACACTAATAAAAAAATTGTTTACGGAACACGTTGCAAACAGCAAAAACATTAAACAAAGTGTTTGTAAAATGTAACTTAAGACATACCCTGCAAATTGTAAACTATCGGAACTGTATCTCAACACCAAACGCAAAGGACCTATACCTATTTTTTTTGTGGTAAAAGGACCTATACCTATATTCATATAGCAACTACGATCTCTACTTATATAAGTCCAAAATAAGGAGTGTTTAGCAAATATCTCCATTAAAACTAGAGTTAAGTAAGTGCGTGGTCAAATGCTAAACACGTGCTTTTCCTGTCCAAGTTACACTTGGTGGACAAAATTATAGAAAAACTAATTATTTGAAAACCAATTTTGTGTTTTTAAAACATTGTATAATATAGGCACCAAAACTATAACTATCCCTATATTACCACATGAAACAATTTGTTATCGATATTTTACCCTTTTTTATATTGAATAACGTGAGATGGCCCAGACGTATTTTTCTTTTCCTTTATGGGCGAATAGCAAAAAGGCCAATCACATGGGACTTAAATGTATTTTGGTCCACAAAAAAAACAACCTCTCAATTAAGCCCATCCCCATGTCTTTAGTCTAAAATACCCTCAACAATATAATTCTTATCAATTCCATCCATTATGCTCTAACTTCCTTAATATTACACATTGACCCCATATTTAAACAAATAGATCACATTAACCCCCAAAACTTTTTTTTCAGAAAATAATTTTTTTTTCTGAAATATTCAGATTCCGGCCAGATTCCGGCCAGATTTCCGCCGTTGACCGCCGGTCTCCGGCGTTGACTTTTTTTCTTTTTTCTTTTTTTTTTTTTACCTTTTATTTTTCCTGAGATTTTTTCCGGCCGGTCAACCACCGTTGACCGCCAGTCTCCGGCGTTGACTTTTTTTTTTTTTTGATTTTTTTTTCTTAGAAGAAAAAAATATTTTAATTAATATTACAGTTTTAGCTACTGAATTACTGTCTCAGACAGTAATATTACTGTTTGGGACAGTAATATTATGAATATTATTTTTCCGAACAGTAATATTATTAATATTATTGTCTAAGACAGTTAAATTACTGTTGAATACATTAATTTAGCATCTAAGGCAGTACTATTAATTAAAATATTTTTTTTAAGAAAAAAAATGAAAAAAAAAGTCAATTAACAGTTAAATTACTGTCTCCGACAGTTAAATAACTGCTGGAGACAGTAATTTAGCAAACGAATACAGTAATATTAATTAAAAATATTTTTTTTCAGAATAAAAAAGTCAATTAACAGTTAAATCACTGTCTCTAACAGTTAAATAACTGCTGGAGACAGTAATTTAGCAAGATACAGTAATATTAATTAAACTATTTTTGAAGAAAAAAAAAAGTCAATTAACAGCTAAATTACTGTTTCCGGCAGTTAAATAACTGCCGGAGACAATGATTTAGCAGCCAAGACAGTAATATTAATTAAAAAAAAATTAAGAAAAAACAAAATTATAAAAAAAAAAAAAAAAAAAAAAAAAAAAAAAAAGTCAACGCCGGAATCTGGCCGGAAAAAAAAAACATTTCAGAAAAAAAATATTTTCTGAAAAAAAAAATTGGGGGGTTAATGTGATATATTTGTTTAAATCCCGGGGCCCAATGATGTACATATTAAGAGAAATGTTTAGATGCATAAGGATTGGTGGAACTCTGATAAGAATTTAGGGTTAAAATTGGGGTCAAATTGAAATTAGGGTTAAAATTGGTTAATTGATGAAATTGGGCTAAATTGGGGGT